TGTTCCAACAGTTCCATGTCTTTTTTACGTTAAGGACACCAGAACTGCACACAATACTCCAGGTGAGGTCTCACAAGAGCAGAGTAAAGGGGAGGATCACCTCCTTCGACCTGTTGGCCACGCTCCTTTTGATGCAGCCCAGGATACGGCTGGCTTTCTGGGCTGCCAGCACACACTGCCAGCTCATGTTCATTTTCTCATCAACCAACACCCCCAAGTCCTCCGCAGGGCTGCTCTGAATCTCTTCTCTTCCCAACCTGTAGCTGTGCCTGGGATTGGTCTGACCCAGGTGTAGGATCTCGCACTTAGCATGGTTAAACTTCATAAGGTTGGCATCTGCCCACCTCACAAGCGTGTCAAGGTCCCTCTGGATGGCATTATTTCCCTCCAGCGTATCAACCAAACCACACAGCTTGGTGCCACTGGCAAACTTGCTGAGGGCGCACTCAACCCCACTGTCCATGTCACCAACAAAGATGTTGAACAAGACCAGTCCCAACACTGATCCCTGAGGGACGCCACTCGTTACTGGTCTCCAGCTGGACATTGAGCTGTTGACCACAACTCTTTGTGTGCGGCCATCCAGCCAGTTCTTTATTCACCAAGTGGTCCACCTATCAAATTGATGTCTCTCCAATTTAGAGATAAGGATGTCCAGCGGGACAGTGTCAAATGTTTTGCACAAGTCCAGGTAGATGACATCAATTGCTCTACCCCTGTTCATCAGTTCCATAGTCCCATCATAGAAAGCCACCAAATTGGTCAGGCAGGATTTCCCCTTAGTGAAGCCATGCTGGCTGTCACCAACCACCTTGTTGTTTTTCATGTGCCTTAGCATGGCTTCCAGGAGAATCTGCTCCACGATTTTACAGGCACAGAGGTGAGACTGACTGGTCTGTAATTCCCTATAATGCAAGTTTGCCTTAACTTAAAAATCATCTAATATAATGTAAAGTTTTTTAACTGCTACCATTTTAAGTTACTATATTCCACAGCCAAAGAGATGTCTGTATTCTATACTTTTTAATATGATGCACTGACTGAAAATTGTTTATTTTGAAGATAATGCAGATGTTATCTCTGCCACAGGAATAACACTTCAAATAAAATTCAGATGTGTTAATATCATTGAAAATGTTACTTATATATTTGCCATGCTAATAAAATTCCCACTTAAATTACTGAGAAAAAACACTTTCACAGTTATGACACGGAAAAAGAACTGAACTGCCTATAAAAACAGACTCTATTTCTTTCCAAATTCTGACAGGTTAACAAAGAATAGAATACACAGATCAGTAACTAAATTGAGAGCTTTCAGTAACTTATGTGTTGTATACCTGGCAGCCATAATCCAAAAGAAGCTGCAGTATGTCCAAGTTTTCATTTTCAATGGTTATGGTAACAGCATTTCGTCCAAGCACATCCACACAATTTATGTTCATTTCGCCTGAGCTGTTTTCTTCTAAGAGTTTCTTAACCATGTAATAGTCACCTGCACAAGTAACATATGAATGTCACTTAATATTATTAAAAAGTAATAAAAGCATGTGAACACTGTAAGTACCAGCTACCAATGGACAACATTCCATAGCTGACAACAGACATCGAGTCATACAACTAAGAGGTCATGGTAGATAAGCATTCTCTCATCAAGGAGGAAACTGAAGGTATTTCAGAATGTCTCTTCCAGAAAAGCACTAAGTCATATACTTCAATCCACTCTTTTAGTTCCAGTCTTATAAGCAAACACACACAAAAGCTCAGGTAGTTTCAAAGCTAGGGCAATAGCTCACACATAACCTGTGGGGCATGGGAAACATCAAGTGCATCACAGAAGGGTTCTCTGTTCAAAAGAACCATAGGCTCAGAGAAGCCCCTTTTACAATGATACAAACAGGTCTGTATCTTCATTGAGCAGAAGCCACATCAGTCCTTTTCCCCATCACTCTAATTCTCATGTATATATTATCAAAGCAGGTGTGATATGATGCTACAATGTTATAAAACTCAAGCTAGCGAGTTTGATTAGCAACTAAATCTAACGACAGTATGACTTACAGTATGTAAGCTGCAATTTCCTATTTGACTGAAGCACAGATATACCAGGCTGCCCTGTTTAGTGTTACTCTGTTTAATTGAAACTTCTTGCCAAAGAGAAAAGCTTTTAATTATTTTTGTCTCTACGGTAACAAAGTATATTGCAACATAAAAGACCATGACAAAGACTGTAGTGTAGCATACTTACAGAACTATACGCAGACTACTTCCACGTACAGTCTGCAAGAGTACTAACCTGCTGTTATAGAAGTAATTTTTTATTTTTAACATTTTTTGTTGTGCACCCGTTTAGCTCCCTCAGCCTCTGTTTTTATTGGAGAGGAAGCTGAGGCTCGTCCTGATCTTCAGGACAGACATGCACTAGGAGCATGGCTGCAGGCAGCCGAGCCATAAAGAGCACCAGAACAAACTTCCTAAAGCCCGCTGGCTAACGTCACTGCAGAAATACTACCACTGTCAACTAACCTAAACAAACGGGTAGCAGGCAGCTCTACGTATAAACACACCAGCTTCCACAACCCTGCATATGTCTTAAAGCACCCGTAATAATCCAGCACGTTATTAAAAAGCTTTCATCAGAGCCCAGCATTTTGGACATGTTAAGATCAGTTTAAGACTCTATTTCTACTCAAGACTAACTACAAACATTTTATAAGAGAAAACATTTTCCCATCCAGTACCTTGGGTGCAAATCACAGTAAAACTGTCTCACTCATCGTGGGGATGTCTAGATAAGCAAGTTTTACCTACAACTATATAGTCAGGCACACTTTTAACACTGAGTGCAGCAAGTATGAACTCCTGCGACACAGAGCGAGGTCCCTCACAAACACAGGAGTACATGGCCCAACGCCTCCTTTCCCCCGGTGCCGCAGGCTCCGGGTTCAGCACGAAGAGCCGAGGCTAAGCCGGGCGCTAAGGCGAGGCGCGGCCGGGCTCAGCCGCCGCGGTGCCCCCAGCAGCAGCCCTGCAGCGCACGGCGAGGACCCGCCGCCTTCCCCGGTACCCGGCCGGGCACCCGCAGGATTTGCTCCCAGTCTCCCCCAAGGGGGGTCTGGCGCCGGCTCGGGCCGTCAGGGAGAGCGGCCGCGGCCTTCGATCGCCGACGGTGCGGCAGGCGGGCGGGGCCAGACTGGGCAGGGGGGCCGGTACCTTTATCGCAGGCCAGCAAGAAGAGCTTCTCGTCCAGGGTGGTCTCTTCCTTCACCTGTCGCACATCCTTCAGCGCCAGCAGCTTGTTCGGCGAGGCCGAGGCGGAGGGATCCGCGCTCTGGTATAAGGCGGCCATGGCGCCGGCTCCGCCAGGCCCATTAGAGCGCGGGCGGGATAGGTGCAACTCCCGATGCCGCACCGGAGGGAGCAGGGCAGCCCCGCACGGTGCCGGCAGCCCCGCGGGCGCGCAGAGCACAGCAGAGCAGGGCTCCTGGACCGCACTGCGCAGGCTCCAATGGCGGCTCCCGCCCTGCTAGGGGCAGCGGGAGGAGGGTGGGCAGGAGCTCCGCCGAGGGCAGAGGCGACCGGTCGGCCGATGAGGCACCTTTAACAGGGACCCGTCTCTGCTTTCGCCGCTCCGCGGTTTACCTTCCCTCCCAACAACATTAAGGGATTGGGGTCGGAGCCCGCAAAAGAGGGGTGGCCTTATCCCGGGGTTCAGATAAACGGTAACGATTAATATAAGCTGAAAGTCCAATTCTCTTTTTCAATCTCCTTTAGAAAAGTCGTGTTTGGTTAGCGCCCTCTTTGAAACCAACGATGGTCTGAGAAGACAGTTCTGTTCGGATGGTGGTACCTGTCGTTTACCTTTCAATAGGTAGCTCAGCTTGTATGTCAAACTGACGGTGCTTAGCGTAGGCACCCCTTGCTCTTTGATTAGTTTCAAGTACTACAAACATTAAACAGACTGACTAAATCCAAGCACTTAATTCTCTCAACTCCCAATATCATCTTCGATAACAGAAATTAAATGAATGCATCTTCTTTCTGATAATATCTTGTGCAAGATACTGAAGATACAAAGCTTAGTCCAACTGTTCCCTCACCGTGATTCTTAGGACTGCTTTTCAGGAGCTGAAACAAAGTAGCAGCTTCATACCGCAAGAGAAAAAAATCCCCCCAAAACCCACCTTCATTTTTATTTATATTTCCTTCTTCCCTAGTGTTTGGCTTTTAGTAACAACCTTATTAAATGTCCAACTCCAGCATGTTTTGTGAAAATTTGCAACTGTAGGTAAAGGAGTACAAATACCTAAGAAAATAATCACTGACTTGATAGCATACAGACCTCTGCACACAATACACACTTTAGAGGAATCAAAGATGACATGCGTAAGGAAATGCAGTACATTAATGTGAAACCCCAAACTGGAGTAGCCAGCTTTTTATTGTTTTCTTATACAGTATTTTATGAAAAGTGAAAAGAAAAGAAAAAAAAAAAAAATCAAATGTTTAGTCCAATTGCAAAAGCTAGCACATCTGCACACCTAATCATAACATGATTACATTCCTGCTTAGTAATTTACAGACTGTTAATTTCCTGCTCAGTAACAGAAATAAATTGCTACATACATTTAAAGATTATTCCCACAGAACAGTTTCATCAGCTTTATCGACGGACATTAGTTTCCAGACATTATCAGAGGCCTTCACTTGCTCTCACTGAAGTCAATGACAAGACTCTCATTGGCTTCAAGAGGAGTTAAGCTCTACAAAAAATAAGGCAGTGATAACTTCTGTGCAGTTAGGAGTAATACAATAGGATTGGAATGCACCTTGAAACTTGTATCAATATATATATACGTAACACCCACTAAAAATAATAAAAACAAAGTTTCAGAATGAGTCCTAAAATGACATATGTAAAATGATGCAGATTCTTATAATACTATGGAAAATAATACAAATGAAGCTTCATTAATATGGTGGTGGTGGGGGGGGGGGGGTTAAGCAATACAAATCTTTAATGTTAATTTGATAATGAACATGTTCTGAAAACAGTAATACCCATAAATAATCAATATGTTATGAAATGGAATAGTTTTAACTAATATAAACACATTATTAAAATTTCATTAATTAGGATATTTGTGCATACAAATTTTCTGATTTTATACTAAGCTTCAGAATTCTGAACTGTGAGGCATTCTTCGTGCTCAACATGGCAGAAAGTTATATTACATGTCTTAATTATTTTATTCTGTTGAGTCCTCTTCCCATCAAACATGCAAACACTGTCATCACCATTTTTGGCTTCACTTCAACCAGATCATCTGGGAGAGCATAGATACGAGCACCAATTTTTCGAGCAACTGAAATAGCGTATCTTGGAAAACAAGAGAAAACATAGCGTTATTTTACTTGCATCTACTAGCGTGCTAAGATTTACAACATATTTTAATAGCAGGATATGCCTGTTCAGTGCTTACACTCTGTGAAAAAATTAACATTACTGCCAAGAAAGCATGTATTAGCAATTTCAGTGGCAGATATTTTGCTACTGGTTATCAAAGAATTTGTTTTTGTCAAAGTGTGTATTATGGCAGGCTATTAATAAACCAGTTGCGGTGCCATGGTGGTAGGTCATATCAGCTGTGAATTTAACTTCATATTTTAACTATGCTAGAAAAATAGCTCTAAAATACTATAATTATAATATTTTGTATTTGAAGCAAATCAACTAATAGTGTAATCTGTTAATACATCAGTAAATCCTTCATTACACCATGTATTCACACACTTCCTGCACTTAAGGAAAATACAAAGTACCCATTTAAAACTTACTTAGCATTATTTAGTTTGTCTTCATTAGAAAGATCTTCTCTCTTGACCATTTCTGGACGAACGGCTTTTGGTGCAATAGCGTCTATTAAATCTAGGACAGGTAAACTAGTGCTAATTGATTTGTCCTAAAAGAAAAGACTCAAAACATTAGAAGAAGGACTTTGCTTTGATTATTCTGACTTCACAATGCAAAAAACCCTACAGCACATTTTATATTTGTATTGAAAGACAGCAGCATGTTCTGTTACTTCATTGTGTGAAGGTTTTCCCCCCCTCTTTTAAAGGTCTAATGTTCTTTTCCACAATTAAAATGTTAAGATCCATACTCTGTGTTGATATTATTAATATTATACAAATGGTTTAAAATTGTTTAATGAAACAAACTCCTCCCCTTCTCTGAGGGAGGAAAGGAATTTTGAAAGAAGTCTAAGGACCAGACTTTCAAGACAACAAAAATGTATCTACATTCCACAACTACTTTTACTTTTCTCCTTTTCTTCTAATGATATATTCTGAAGTAGTTTATCGCTCACTCTTTTTATAACTTTTTAACTCAGATGATATTCTGAGCTAGTACAAGCAGTCTGTGTTTTGTATTTAATACATGGACGTGTATTATTCTGTTCTTAAAACAGCAAGTGCTATTACTACAATTATTTCTTCCCAACTGTTAGGGCAGACAAGCAACTGATGACGTCAAACCAAGAGAAAGCAGACAGTGCAGTGAGGCGCTGCACATAAGCCACGTGCATGACATGGCTTCTTTCACCACCAGGCCAGAACTATGAATTCAAATTCAGTGAAGTCCCACAGAACCACCACATTAATTATACATTTAAAAATAGTAATATATGTCTACTTGAAGACACTGAATGCATGCAGTATCTCCCCAAGACCATAAGCCAGAACCCACACCTTTGTAATTTTCTTGTTTGAACTAATGGCAGTTCAACAGAACTTTGCTTTCATAGCCCACAAGAAGTATCAGGGACCTCTGCTTTCTCTGCTACACTTCCTGTTGCAGTAACCCCAAAACACAGAAAAAAAAAATCAAATTGTGAAGGAAAACACATAAGTGGATGTTGTCAAAAATCAGTGAAAAAAAAAAACACTTATAATGAATAACATTACTTTACATCAGTAGCTCTTTATCTTTACTGACGTACAATCAGCTGAATTACCTTTAAAAAAAACAACCAATACCCCCTAAAAAAACATGGGCATGCCAAAAGCAAGATGCTGGGACAGATTCTCTTCATACTTTCAGCTTATTTATACCACCATTATTACAATTTATGTAGAAATAACAGAAGTAGGAATACTTTTCAAGATGATGACCTAAGTTACCTCTAGAGTAAAAAGGAAATAATTCGTTCTATAAAATTATTTGATATTACCTTTTACCTAATGCTTACCTAATTCAATTAATAACACCGCAAGACCTCAAATGTTTAACTTGCTAGGTACTTATGTTCCTGTTGCGAACCACAGACATAACTGTTTCAGAGTATAAGTTATATTTGCATGCAAGTGCAATTATTTATCTACCATTTTTCTAAAGAAAGAGATTTACACAGCATGGAACACCTGACATAGATATAGTACGTTTAGTGTTTAACATGTGACAAGTGTGAAAAGAAAGCTTCCTTTATCCATTTGCTTTATCTGCTGAATGGGAAAGCTGGTTCATAAGGGTCTGCTGAACATCAGCAGTGCCAATGAAGACAAAAGATGCTGCTGCTTAACTTGGGCTCCCTCTCCTGGCTCTGTCACATAAGAGTGCATCTTTTTGATCAGCTGTTCTTAAAAATGGCGATTACTTCCCCCCCGCCCTGTATTTCCAAAATCATTCTTCATGTTTGTACAAGCACGAGAGTGCCTATATCCAAAAATTCAATAGGTATGACATGCCATGCCCAAACATTGGTAATTTTGGCCAAAAAACCCTTTGAAAGTTTAGCCTTTGTTGATGTAATTGTTTTGGGGTAGGTTTGTTTTGTCAGAGTAACAAGTTGTAATTTAGTTTTGTTTCTTATTAATAAACATGTAAAATACTTTTGAGGTTTCACAGACTGTCAGAAATATTTCCTTATACAATTACACTACTGATGAGAGCCATAGTTAAAGTCAAATTGTTAACAGGTTAGATTAAAAATCCCCAACCTGATTATATATATAAAGAAAAAGTATATCAATCTGGTTTACCTTGAAACTCGTAACTGAAGTTTTCTTATTTGCTTTTGCAAGTGTCTGATTCACCCACTTAATAATAATTTCATCATTTACTTTTTCCCCCTCTCCAAGGTCTGATAGTACATTCAAAGTATACCTTTAATAAAGAAAACAAGTCTGAGTTGAAGCAAGTGGCAGAAGTTCACTCTGCTAACAGTACAAAACTACAAGTAAAATACTACTTGTGCACAGTAATGACGCCAAATGATCACCTTCATTATGTACCCTTATCTTACAAACTATTTAGTACTTAAAATCACTTTTGTTGTTGTTGCAAGAATAAAATAATACTTATTTTCGAATAAAAATTTATAAGATTCACTATTACATCATCTTTCTATATTTGTTTTACTAAGCACACCATAACTAATTTTACTTTAAATGACTCCCTACCATCCAAGCCACCTTGAAAAGTGAATCAGAACAGTCTGACAAACAAAAAGCACTGAGTGTTTAAGGGTAGGTGTAGGAAAACTACACTTGTGGAAAATTCCTGCAATAAAATACTTTTATACTTTATCTATATAAAATAGATTTATATTTTTTCCTGCTCAGTGCACTAGCTAGATTTTGATTTTACAGTAGTTACATTACTATAGCTATGATACCCTAAAAATTTCTTCCCATTTAACTTCTATAGTGCATTACTTCTTCCTATTTAACTTTTTTGATTTTACAGATATTTAAATTACTTAAAGAAAGGTACATGGAATCAACATGAAATAATCTCTGCTCTTTTTACTTGCTTCAGGATTTATAGCTTGAACCACAGTTCATAGTACATAAGGTTTTAATACTTTCTGTAAATGTATGTTTTCACATACATATTATTGTGGTTTCAACCACTACACAATATGTAAAACTACAAAAAAAAAAAAAAAAAACAAACAAAGAGAAAGAGATAGCCCTCTAAAATACCTGTTGGGTGAACTAACACTGGGTTTAATTTGCCTTGATACAGACACACACATATACGCACATGCACAGATACATATATATACACATCTATCATATACTGTGCCTAACTTACCTTCTCATCAGCTGCCATACCAAAGCTAAAGTCAGAGTTGGGTTACCCTCATTTAGATCATGTCCAGCAATACCAACCAGTGAGAATTTGGCTTTTGTCTTCCCGAGTTCTACTGCATAATTGCAATTCTCAATCTAAAAATAAATGTTGCATGCAAATAATGAAAATGTCTTAATATTTCTGTAATACAGACCTATAATGTATATTTATTTTGAATTTGGCTTACTGTTACCTTTGATGAGATTTGGAGCCAAGAAAGATTTCTAGCCTTTCTATACTGCTGTTAAAATAACAGCTTTTATTATAAATACAAGTATGCAAAATTCCAAGGATGATCTTTTTTTCCACACTTGAGAAAACCATGTTCACTTCCACTAAAGTTAATGAATTTATATACACTTACACCAAATCTGAATTTGGAAAAATATTTAAATGTGTTAATTCTTAGGCAGTATTTCTTTTCCCCTCTACTTTCTTCTTGACTCATAATGATCATAAAACTAATTGAAAGCTTCTGATTTCTGCAAGTCTTGCAGTTCTCCTGGCAGCATATAAAAGTGTTCTGTGATGAAATGCCTCCCAATGCAAGAGCATCACGTAATGATAGCTCTGGCAGGCTTGAAACTTTTACTTATACACCCTAATTAGACCCTAAATTAAATATTACCAAAAGCAATCTGCATTTAGAAACTGAAGTGATATATGCTCTAACTGCTATTTATTCACTGGGATAATATGCAAAAGATACTTTTTCCTTTTTTTCCCCCCTCTCTCTTTCTCTCCTCCCACTCTGCCCCCAGCAGCATGCAAATCTGAGACAGACAACCCATTACAAACATAACAATAGTAGATAGTGAAACCAACTGTATGCCAGAGTTATCTGCCCACCTTTTTCATGTTACCACCGAGTAATGGATAAGGAGGTTTGTTGACACGGTTCCAGTCAACCAGCACACGAGTCATATCATACAATTGGAAGATTATTAAAGCATCAGAGAGGTCACTAAACCAGAGTAAAACAATGTTTTTAAGTACAAAAGCTCATATTCACAATGCAAGTAAATATTGAGACTTTTCCAAGTGTAATTAAGTTGCTGAAAATTTCCAATCACGTAAATAAAAATTTGTGACTTTCTGTGGAGAAACTGGCCTATTCCCTATTATTTGAACCCACGATTATTTACACTGTGCTTTTCATTTCATCATTTTCACAAATTTTAGTGAAGCAAACACAGGTACTGGTTTTACCAACTTTATTTAAATAATTGCTTTCACAGGGTGGGCACAGACAAAAAATTTAGCAAAACAAATTTTCATTGATCGATCTAGTTTTAGTTTCCTTAGGGCTTTCAAAAAAAGTCCTGAGTGCTTAATCTGCACCCACAAATGTATTGTGCTAAAGAATAACCAAAACCAATATATTTATCTTATGGAAAAAAAAAAATTGGAAAAAGTATTTTCTCATTACAAATTTCATTCCTGATAACTCCCTTCAGCTAATTGCAGAATTAAATTCTCTATGTTAAACTATCTACAGACGATACTCACTTTACAGAGATCATAAAACAGGAACAATGAAACCTAACATCAAGTAAACATGCATACCTATGTTTACAGTTGCTCCCTTTATCCCATCTTTTATTGATACGACAGAAAGAATACTGGCACAATTTTAAAGTAATCAAAAGCATGCAAAAAGCATGTTAAAAAGCTCTTTTTGAGGGAATACAATGCTCCATTGATTCTTACAGTCTGATCAGCAGACACTTATCCCCTCTTACAGTTTAGAATTACACTACTGGTTTGTGGTCATGTGATGAGAGAAAATAGAAACCATGCGTTATTAAACACAATTATCTCAACCTTTTTTAAGACAAAATGTAATTCAATGTATAAGTGAGTGAGAGGAGCACATCAAAAGTGCTTAGGTTTTCTAGGATTTCTAGGTCATGACCAGAATATCTTAGTCAGACACTGCCTAATATGGTTCCACGGATCAGTCCTTAAGTTCCTATCACACTGTGTGAAAACCTGGAAATCACTGTTCAAGCAGAAAGAAAATTTCCCTTGATTCTTCCCATCATTCTTCCCTTGTCATCCAAAGGAAATCAAATTCTTGTTTTTAAAAAAAGCCTTACCTGTATAAATGATTAACATATGGGCTTACACCCAGTGAATTCATCCAGTTTCTGAAAGTCCTTTCTTCATTACTTTCTCCTATGATGACAAATATAAATCTATATAAATTATCGGAAAACACACTTCAATAAGCAATGTTTAAATGGCTCTCATACTCTTCCCCCACCTCTCCTTCCTAACCCCCATATGACTTGATCCTTTCCCTAACAGTAGTCTCTACTGGCCAATAAGTCAAGGCAATTGCATCAAATTCAGAGTCTCTCAGTTCTGGCACTTACACGAAGTACTATTAGACTACATTTTTCTGTGTGAATATAATTTTATAAAATACAGAAATAATTTGTTGGTTATATTTTATGTAATTAATATATAAGGGAGAAAATAGCGATGGTTTTTTGGGGTTTTTTTTAGAGTTCCTAAAACCAGAACCGGTGGAAATTGCATTTAACAGTATCTTTAAATCTGTTTGAAATGGCATATTCTTATCAAAAGTTAGTACTAACATACTTAGCATTAAACTCCAGAAACTACAGCTCCATATCTTTCCACACAGAAGTTCCTAGTATTAATTCGTGAAGGTCCTTCCCAAAGCAATAGACCTCACCTTTTTAGTTTTTAACACTGGAGACTTAAATAGGCAGCACTGTATTGGTTAAATTTGTGAAGCTATTTATAAGGCCAAGTGGGCTAGTTACTGTTGCAATTTTTACTAGCAACTCTGCTTATCAGAAATACAGATAATTGAGTAGGAAAAACCAAAACACCCCCCCCTAAACCTTCTCTTCCCTGACTTAGATAGTTTTTAATCTATTGTAATCATGAGCCCTAAGCCAATGTACTTTCTCTATAGAGTTTGCAGTAATACTTTAATTTTCTACATACAACATTATCTAAATTTTAACAATGTATCCGTGGCCAACTGCTTGTGACTCAGTGCTGGATAAGCTTATTTTCTCTTGCATCAGAGAGGAGCAGTTGAGAAAATATTTAGCCTAATTATGTGAGCTTAGAACACCCTCATCATTTTGTTCCCCTGGCCTGTACACAGTTAAGAAAACAGGACTGTTTTAAGAAAGAAAACTGAAAGATGGAGAAAACTTCCCCCAACAACAAAGGAGCAGATTTCTCACGACTGAAACATGTAAAAATCAGATTATCCTTTTTTTCTTTTTTTTTGGTATGTGCTTGGGTTTTCATGTGGTTTTTGTTTGGTTGGTTTTGTTTGTTCCTTAGAGGACAAGGTTACCAAGTTCGTCTAATGAGGTTTACGTAGCAGGAAAACTGTCTCATTTAGTACTGCTGTTCTACATTGACTACAGAACAATGAGTGTTTTAGCAAAATTAAGCTATTGTATAAATATGTACTTATCATTAAGAACAGAAAAAAACATTTTAATATTATTTTTCCATGAATTAGACCTATCTCATAACATCAGCTTTTAGATAGGGGTTACAATTTTAATCTAGGTCTGTCCCCTATTATACAAAATCTCTGGACTTCAAAATATATTTACAAAAAATAAAGAAAAAGAATTTCAGTAATGTCAGCTGTAATTGACATTTTCCAACAGAATAAATTTTATTTATAAAGTTTCAGCCAGCTTAGCATTTACTTTCCTTTCCAGCTATGAAATAAATCATATTCACCTTACCGATATCTTTTCTAAATTAAGAGGTCTTTTATATGCAATTCAAACTAGTATTTGTTTCAAAAGATTTACTTTTAAAATTTATCAGTCACTGATGAATACATGCTAATGCAAAAAAAAAAAACAACCAACCAAACCAACTGTTCTGCAAGGTCTTCAAGCAGTCAGCTTTGTTTCACGTATTTCTTCCCACAACAAAATTTAAAAGAATCACATTTTATGACAAAGCTATTAAAAATACCAGGTTTTCCATAAAATCGATACAATCAAAATACAAGCATGATATATACTTTAAGTCTAGAGTAACTTAAGAGGTTATTGTATTTTGAACAAAGTCCCTTTTTCTTTTTTCTCTTTTTTTCTCCCCAAGTTTTTAGGCTTGCTCAGCTTCGAGTTGATTTGCAACACCTAAAATACTGACTGCAAAGTGTTTTAGGAACACTTGTTAATTGCAAGACAGTAACAAGATTATTTAATGAGCTTTTGTTAAACGAAGAGTAGCTACAAAACCAGATACTCAGCAATTGCACTCTGACTGACAATTTTAAAATGCATGCATAACACTGTTGAAAGAATCCAAAGCAGGAGCAAAAGCATGCAAGTTGGGCAGCACCCTTTTTGACAGCAGAAGTCCAAGAACTAAACCCAGCATACTATATTTAATATGCCACTCTAAATAAATCCCTTTATCATGCAACATATAAGTGTTCTTAAGTTTTCCAGATGGCTGAAAACTGACCAATTTTTTCTCTCTATTCTTTTATTCAAAATATACCTTGTGATCCTATCAGGAGCATATCTTCTGCTGAGTGGTGCAGCAGATAGCCAAAATCATTGGAAAACTGCAGAAAGGGGGCAGAGCTACATAAAAGAGAGAGGAGCAAATTTGGTAGTATCCTTTGTATTTATCACTATCTCTTTCTTTGAGACCATTATACTATGGAACTGAGTGAGGAGAAGCCATAGGGATGGGGTCAAGAATCCAAAGGGCTCCAAATACCTACAACTGAGAAAACAGAGCTCAAGATGCAATTTGCACTGGAAGTTCAGCTGACCTAAATGGGAGTAGTTAACCCTCTTGTGTTAACAGCCTTGAAGTCCAGCAGCAGAGGACATCTACATTGGAAATGTAGAATTGGAAGTCCCTCCTCTTCCTCCCCCCAAGGGCTCAGCTTTCTCTGCTGTTTCCCCCAAATGTGAGGCTCCTCAGAGCAACAGCAACATTTGTGCATTCCCTGAAGGTCAGGACTTCCCGCTCCATCCCAACAAACATTCATTTTGCTGTCAGTATACCCGAGGGGTATGCTCTCTGTATACAAGTACACATCACCAGACTCCTTAAGTATCATTAGAGCAGATGCCAATTTATGCACAGTGTTCACTGTCTAAAACCAAAAAGAACAGCCCCATCATGCTCTCTGGGTGGAGCAGTCACTGAAAAGATGGAATTTATGCAGGAAAATGAAGACTTTCAGAAAGCTCTACTCACACACGTCCAGAGCTTTATATCTAGGTTTGTAACAGCTACTGGCTAAACCCACAGAAATAACTATATGGCATTTGACTTACTGCAAGTCTTGCCCCAATTTTGTATGCATCATATTAGACCTGTGGTATTCTTTTTACTTGTCCTATAGTTATGACGGCATATTAAAGTAATAGAAAAATACAAGAACAATGCAAAAAATCAACCAGAAAGGGACAGAGATGAATAAAGGGGGGGGGTGGGGGTGTGGGCAGGGGGAGGAGGAAGAAAAATAAACATTTCAGAATAAACACTTTTATGGAGTACAGAAAAGTACTAAATACAGTACCTACATTAGGAGGGGTCAAATCTGCATTTCATGAAGCAAAATAGGAAAGCATTATAAATTATGAGTCAAAATTCAACAGACAATCGATGATGAAACTATAAAGGAATGAATCTCATATTTTATATCACCATATTTTATACCTTCAGAAAATATCAATAAAACCACAGGATTTTATGGAAAAAAATAAACAAATTAATTGAAAATCAAATATAAAACATTGTCTTTTGGCTGATGGTTCAGATCTACATGACACCACAGGAGCTCTTTTGGGGGGGGGGGGGCAAAGGAGAGTCATCTACTTGCCTTTTAACAGATAATATTGGCATGATCCATCTCTAAAATACATCCTATAAACACTAAGTTAAATTTGGCTGGTATTTGCATTACAAAATTGTAATCCAGTATTCAGGTGATTATAACTTTGTACAAACTGTTTTAACTGAGGCTTTGATCTCATCTAACGTTTTTTTAGGAAAAGTTCAGAAAATAGTTCAGCTGGTTTTGCCATGCCAATGAGAATGCTTCTAAATTTGACCAAGCTTTCAGTATTTTGAATCATACCTGCAACTTTATGTTCAGAACAGGTAAGCTGAACGGAACATATTCCACTGCCACACAGCTTCTGTATACACTTCCAAGAGCATACATTTCTGACAAGACTGCAGCAGAGGAAGAGCAATCATTTGTCCTAGACAGCAGGGACTGCAGTGACTAGGGATATCACAGCTAAAAAGGGAAAACTACCTCTGATACTTCTACCACAGCTGACACCCAGCTGAAACTAGATGGGCCAGAAGCCTGAAACAGGAGTGGTCTGAGGGATGCAGGATTTGTGACATAGGGATGCAGCAGAGCAGACAAATCATGAAAAAATAAGGAGCAAAGGAAGATGGACTCACCTAGATGGAAAGGAAATCTGATAGGAACAGTAAGAGGAAGGCAGGAGTAGGCAGTGCAGAGGAATATGTGAACATTGCTGATGATTCTCCCGAGTGTGGCACCCCTGATTCTCACCATCCCTTTGAGATCAGTGAACAATTGTGAAATACACTGGCAGGGGCCATTTCATTATCCTAGATTGCCTGGTCCACAGAAAGGGTAGCAGCCAAAGATTGCTACCAATTGTGCCTTTATTTCTAGCATCTGAACTGTACAGTTAATGTCCAAATTTACTCATGTGCTATGATTTACGTAGGTTGCTGACACAATAGATCAATATCGGTTGCTGATACAGAAGCCCTTTTTAATGTTGCCCATGTTAAAAGGCAACAAACTGATACACATACACACACAAAAACAGTATGTGAAAAGTACTTGAAAAGATTATTACAGTTGCTTAACACTGCAAATTAGGGAAAGCTACAATTTGTGCATCAGCTAAAATATGAACTGTATGGACAGAAGCGGGAAACCGCAAAGAAACTAAGAAGACAGTTTTTGCTCCTGCAAATGTATAATAGAAGGTTATTCAGGAATAGCCTTTGGTTAGGTTAATGCAACTACAGTCACAGTAATGGGAAATTCTACTGAGGCTTATACTGACAACTAGTGAGAAAGCTCTATATGCTGGTCTTAACACAGGGACCGTTGCACAGGGGTCCTATATCACAACCTAGAAGGAATACTTAAATAGAAATCACTCATATTCTTGTCTCCCATATGCTTAGTAAATTGAGTACCTTCTAATAAATTGAGATCGTAAGATGAATTGTCAGGCTTGTGTAGGGCTGGATATGTGTTAAAGAGATTTGCAACAAAAGCCAAATTGAGTTTAGGGTTGCCTGCAACCACATCAGCTGGAGTTACAAACTGTCTGCAGCCCAATTTATCTGCCTGTTGGAGCATGTATTCAGCCCTCCTCAAGTCATTTTTATCCTAAAAGAAAAAAATAAAAATTAATTTGTAATGAATACTAGCATGTTTCCATTCTTCACCTGAATCCTCAGCTTGGCAAATCTTTAAATGACCCATGTCAGTTCCTCAGTCATTCCCCCAATGCCTGAGCTAGCTCACTCAGCCCATAACAACTCCCCATGTCCCATCTTCCTTCCACTTCCTTTCTGTCCTTTGCTTCTATTGCTGCCTCTGCAACTTTCCTCAGGAATCACAGCAACAGCAGCAGCAGTTAGAAGTGCATTAATGATATTTACATTTCCATTCAAGTTGATTCTCACACTCCATATTCTCCTACATACGTTGAAGGTTCATCATGACTGCTTGAAACTGATACTGTAGCAGCACAGTAACTACAGATCATGCCCCTAACCCTCAGTAAGAGTTTGAATGCTTGGCGATAATCCACCTGCTTTCCTTTTAATACTTATGCTTCTAAATTATCGTAAATTGGTGACTTATGTGTTATTTTGTCTTTATTATTAATCTATATAGAATAAATCAGTGTCCATAACAGTTTAGCTATACCTTTTGCCCCAGAACAGTCTAGTGTGTACTTTTTGCCTCTAATCTCCGTAACACTAAGAGTTACTATTTATGGGTAAGTAAGTTAGCAATTGAATTACTATTAGAATTGAGTAACAGTCAGTACTTCAGTATTGGTACACCCAACCAGGAACTTCCTCTAAAACAAGCTGGTACATGTTATTGATAATTGATTTATAACCCATTACAGAACATGATCATATGAGCTGTAGAAAATTACATGGAAAAAACGTAACTACTGTCCTTTCTCATTCAAAAAAAAAAAAAAAAACACAACCCAACAAACAAAAAAACCCACCACAAAAACCCAACCCAAACCCACCCAAGACACAAAAGCAAAGAAACAAAACAGAGCTCTCCTCATGAATGAGTTTGAGAGAACTGAAGCTTGTAAGCAAACAAAATTTTGCATGTTGGTTTTCATTACTGTAATAAATAATGAGATTCTACTTAAGAATCTGATTTATATACAGATATCTATGTCAGAGGCAGAGAGTTCAATTTTACATCAAATGCATTGTCAGAATAATCCTTCAAAGGAGCATTATGTAGCAGTTTAGAGAAAGTGGTTTCATATCTACCTAAGCTGCTTTTAGACCATCTACACCTCTACAACTTAAAGGTTGAAGGATGCCACAATTCCCTGCGGGCTATTGGAAGGCCTCCCATGTTACTTCTGAATGCTATTTGGTTTGAGGAAGGATCACAAGGTTTGTGAAGTCTACTCTTTTCATCTGAATTCCAGAAGAGCAGAACTGTGCAGGATGTTGTAAGATTGGTACTGAAAGACTCAACTGAAAATAAAAGAGTTAGACAGTACTCTAAGTAACACATCGCTCCAAATTTTAGACTGTAGGATTCATTATCCTGTTTCAGCAGTGCTCCAGAACTTTACTCTAGTAGTCACCCTTTTGAGCTTTTGTGACATTGAGGAATCTGACTGGTTTTGTATGCTTTACAAAACAAAAGAGAATTCTGGGACAGCCTTGTAACCAGGTTGTTGGATACATACATAATTGCATTTTATTTTTATGTTTCTGGATACTTACATGAAATCCTGAAAAGTCAATTTTAATGGGCAATTCATCAAGGTCACCTCCTTTGGGTGCAATCTGATCTAACAGATGGTAGTATGCTCTTGAATCCTAAAATGAGCAATAACATATATATAAAAATTAAAAAGAGCACGCATGTAGACTTCAGTAATCATTTCCTGCTTTTATAGTCCAGTTCAACAGCTATACAAGTAAAAAATATGGCACCCTAATTCCAATGAATATGGATGAGGTCATACAGCCATTTTACTACACTATTTCACATGGAACTTATTTATCCAGGTGACTAATTATTCAGTGCAATTTTAGTTAAGTTTATTTTGCCAGATATGAACTAGATGGCTATAATGAAGATATTTAAGGTAAATTTGTATAGGTTACCCACAAAAAAAATCCCTCCAATATGGATCTTATTTTCAGTGTTGGTATTTTATTCCCTCACTATCATTTTTTAATAGACTGTTTTATAAAAATTTCTCTTTCTTAATTGATGAGGTAATTCAGGATGAATCTATAGTGACAAAAGCAATTTATTTGATGCAGTTTTCAGTACGCTTCTATTAGCAACCCCATCTAAGAAACTAGGAAAATAAAACTCTGATAGTTTCAGCAGTATTTAATGCTTCCCTTAAATAGCATGTAATATTTTCACCATAGTGACAGTTTTCATACAAAACCCTAGTTAGTTTTTCTTTAATAACAGCCTTCTTGATGGCATTTGAAGAGTTGAAACAAGTAATTAATGATATGGTTTTCTTCAATGAAGAGCTCTTATCACTTCAGGCAATCTTCCTCCTTCGCTTTTAGTTTTAAAAAGTTGGAGTTTTCTCTCTTCAAGTGGACTAACTATGTTGCTCTGCACACCTTATGCAGAATGGCTAAAGAAGAGAGAAGAATTATGCAGATGTGCCCCCTGTCCCAAGAAACCAGCATGCCTTTCAGCCCCCTTGTGTCACTAAACTGGCATAACCAACAAAGCACAGTGATTCAGGGGAGATACTCTCTCCTTGGATCAAGAATCAGTAGTTACTCCAGACAGACCTCTGTAAAAGCTCATTCCTCAAGAGGTTTCCTACTCTTCTGCAGAATGCTAGGTGCAAAGGGCAATCACAATTAGCAAATATGCATTTGGATGGGATTTAAATGCTACACACCAATTCTTTAAAACAACAAAAAAGAGGAAAGATGGGTTTCTGCAGACCCAAGAGCAGGGAAGGATGGACAGGAAAAAGGTAATAAGATAGTGCAAATTCTCCTAAATAAATCTTAGAGCATTAGAACTTCCCTGAATATAAGCTCCTCAGAAATGTTTCCTTTCACTGTGATGTGGTAAATATGTGTATGAGCAACTGAATAGAATAAAAGTAATCAGAATAATGCTCTTTCAGTGTTGAAAAATGCAGGATTACTACTACTTTTCTAAATACTTCTGACTAATTTTTTTCCATGCATAGTATGCTTAATTAACATCACATATTTTCAGAGTGGATAACTACATACCTTGATGTCTTGGCTGAAGTTATTTATTTTCTGCCACCCTGCATTGGCCAGATGGTAGTTCACCCAGCGTAGCAAGAGCTCTTCCGGGGAAAGCTTCATTAACTGATCTAGTTCTTCCCCTTCATTTAACAAGGCGATAAGAGCTAAAAGCAAGTTTTAAAGAAAGCCAAAATCACTGCTATTGTGGTGTCAGTTAATTCAAATTGCCAACATTGCTATACCCAGCATCCCTCTTACCTTCGTTTCTAGAGATCTCAATATCAGCAAAAAGACCAACTTTAATTATCTGCCACAAGAGTCCTAATACCAAATGTGGTTTTCCTTCTTGCAAATCTTGTGATCCAATATTGACAACCGTACAGCCAATAGCAGATGCTGAGTTCAGAGCCAGGTTTAGGTTTTCCTATTTGCAATATAATTATTTTAAAAAAAAACCACAACAAAACAAAAAACATATGAGGTTGTAATTCTTCATAAATTTATTCATATTACATTTTGTAAGATTCAGAAGCTGTAAGAAATAATGCTTTACAGTTCCCAGTGGAAAACTGCACTCTGGAGATTTTTTATGAACCACCATGTATCTAATAAAAATTTAATGGAAAACATTATTGACAGTGTTTAATACAGACCCACAAAAAAAATGTGGACCAACTTCTGCAGCTTGGATTGCTGAGGAATACTCTAAATAAAATATTTTTTTGCAATGCAGAAGTATTACAAATACAAATTACTCAACATTGCTCAAAATATCAGGGGCTTGATCCTGTGGAAAAATGTGCCCATACGGAATTCTGCCCTGTGCACAAGGCTGACATCACTGTCATCGCATCTTGATCTTACACAGGCTGACACATTTATTCAAGCAACTGTTAAACTGTTATTGAACAGTGCAAGAAAATCATGGCAATTCAACATCCTGACATTGAAAGCAAAGCTAATGATTGCCACAGATAAAATATTCCAAGAAAAAAAGCCTGTCAGCTTTTATAAATATTATTTTCTTGTGTAATAGTTTATCTACGGTGACAACATGAACACAAGTAATATCATCTTTGCTGACATGTTTTCTTTTAATAAGCAGAGCTTACAAAACTCACTCAGAGGTTTTACAACACGGTGTGTTTTTACTTGCCATATTTTAAATGTCACAGCCTGAAATGAAATGTCTGCCAATTAACTGAAGTTTTTAATAAGGAATTTTTTGTTGGTCTTTTTGGGTTTGTTTTCTTTTTTCCCCTCATTAGGCTGGTAACTTATGGATGTAGGTCCCTAAAATATGACCTGAGGATACACTCAAAAGTCTAGAATTACCTTCTTCAGATACTTAGTAAAGCAGAACAAGAATAGTGAATAGGGAAGCATGAAAAAAAACAAGTTCTCATGTATATCACCTAAGAAACAGGAGGTTTCTTAACATCAGGTTATTAGAAAATAAAATATATCAAAGCATGAAATTTAACACATAGGACTTTTTTTTTCCTCCACTAAAACTGTCAATATTCTAATTTTTAATTCGTAGCAAGTTTCTATCTATGCAGTACTTACAGAAATAGTGAAAGGAGTGAGTTTCTTCTTGTTAACAGCCCTTTCATCAATTGTATCTGGTTGTGAAAAGTTGATCATTTTGCTAAGGAACAAAAGTAAAGAGTTTATTCAAACTTCAATTTCTCAGAAAATATATTATTTGATTATAAGCTCCTAACACTTTAAATTAGCTGGAAGTATTTCTGACAAGAGGAAAAAATACCAAAACCTCATCCTCTAAATCTCCTTTTCCTACTAAACAATCGCACATCCATCCATAAACCCTCAGATAATATGTAATTACAAGAAACTTGAGCAATTGAGGGTTTGATACTTAAGCAAGAGGATATGCCTGTGCCATCAAAATAGGTTCTCGAGAAGATTAAAAAAGTAAAGTCAGTTAAATAATCTCTAGTGAAAATCTGTGATATAATCAATATATCGCTGGATTACATTTTGATAGTATCTTGCATTTCTATAATATCCTGCATTTACAAGTAATATGCTAATCCCGTGTTACCACAGTGTATGAATAAGCACTATTAGTTTACTTCAAGTAACTAGAAAGTTGCAGGAGACTAAACTTAAGGGACCTACTCTATGCCCTCTGTTTTGTCATAAATTTAACTTCGATTTCTGTTCCTCCCATCCTATGATTTAGTAACTACATTTAATAACTGCATAAAATATTTGAAATACAAAGTCTTCTAATTACTTCAGCTAATGAATATATGAACTATGTAATTATCTCCTTTATAAAGAGCCTGCATAATTACGGGTATGAAGTAGAAACCCACTCCTATAATGCATGCACAGGGTCACATAAAAACTTGCTAAAAATAATATTTCTATTCACAAATAGAATTTCCCCATATCAATATTGGTTGAAAAACTTAAGACTATCATTTAAGACTCAAGTCTTGATATTAAAGCCTGTCAGAAGTTTCCCAATTCAGACAACTGTGACCAGCATTTAACCGTTGAGATAAATTTCTGTCCTTTCTCACAGCCCTGGACTCACCAAAGGAGGATGCCATCTGCAAGGGATTTAAAAAGACTGGCATCTGATGGGTTCATAGGTAGGAGGTGCTTACAGTCTGGGTCATCTTGTAGAGCTTTATTTATCCAATTAACAAAAGCAACCTTTTCTTCCTCTGAAAAGAGAAGCAGCATTAAAAGATTTATTGTCATTTCCACTAACACATACTATTAAATATCAGACTTGGTCAGAGGCACCGCTGCAACAAATCCTCTTAGTTTCAGAGGGGCCAGTTATTGAAAGAATCAGACCAGTGGGAAAGAACGCAAAAAATCAGCACACACAGATAGATCTCTCCTAATCTTTCTCTCTAAACCAGTGGTGATTTTCAGAAGGACAACATAAAATCATAGTGATGTAATGGGGAAGGTATCATCATGACTGACTTTGAATTCAGTTTCTCAGCAATTACAGCAAAGAGAGGGAACTTTGAGATCTAAGTGCACATCTATCCAGCATTTTGTTCTGCCTTCTACGGGGACTTAAGAGACTGGCAGTATTTTTATTGGGGTTACTGTGCTGTATTTAGCTGTGAGAAACTGAAAGTTTAGTACCTCAGCTTGAAATTCTTTCATATTTAGTGCAGAATTTATTAGTATGTAACTAAGAATGCTTATTGGGACAACAAGCAATACCCATACTCAAACTCCCAGACAGTGCAGGTGGTATTCACCTCAGTTACCACATGAAACATACAGGACAGGTACCTACACCTGACTCTTTGCACTTCTTTCATTGTTAGTGGGAAGAAATGCAAAATTCTAGTGCATGCTAGTCTAGATGCTGATGAGACCAGGTCAGATGAATTGCACCTCTAGTGGGGTCAGTTTCTCTCCACTAAAAATGAAAGAGACTAAACAATTAGCTCTGATGGTGTCCCCCTAGAGACATCCTTTGATACGGAACAGATCCCCTGCTTTGGGCATACACCAAGTGCAGGTGGTGCTATAACAACAATACCGAGACAGAAGGTATCACCACCTTTAGGTAACTGAAGTGAATCTTCCTCATTTAAAGAATCTTAAACCACTTCCGGAAACACAGCAAATCCCAGACTCAAGTCAATCAAATAAGCTGCAATATTGCTTACTGCAATATGATCTTGGAGGGTGTTAACATCGTGACTGGGAGCTGCAATGCAATTAAGCACGATTACCAATTTAAATGACATGCAGCAGTAGGAAGGAGAAAGAAACAGAGATAAGTATTAAAAGCAACTTCTCAAGTATGAGTTAGGCTATGAAAAAATCATCTGGGAGTGAACAACTCTATAAGGGTACAGAGACTTGAGGAGGCCCCTTCCCATACAGAAAGGATATGTGGGATTTGGCCAAAGACTTGACTAGCTTTACTAGAAGTATGCCAAAGGGCCTCCTGCCCTCAGCCACATGCTGTCAGTGCTTGCTTTTATTTTTCATTTTTCCAAAAGATGCCTAATTCACTTCTGAGTCCAGAATGAAACTAGCAACAATTGAACAGCCAATGTCTTAATAAGCTACCACCCACATTTGTCCATCTCCACATACCTTCTCTGTGTTAATTTGCTTTCAACAGCAACATTTTCCAGGTTTGTTTTATTTTCTTCAGCTATAGTGCAAATGTAAAGTCTTCCTCCATGCAAAAGTTGCTTATGTTTAATTATTTCTTACCTGAATAAGAGTGTTGTGTCCCTTCACTAGATATTGCTGATGTTCCTCCAATTGCGGTAATACCTTGCTTTTTGTTTATTGATTTTCGGAAAGATTTGCTAATGTCTTTACTTTTCAATTCCTGAATTATCTGGAATAAAAAAAAATAAATTAGAGAGCATTTTATGATTGGTCATGCCTTCAAATAACCAAATGATAACTCCTATAAGTACTCTAGAGTCAGTACTTAACCTGACTGCCTTTCTTTTGCATTTACATTCACTTCTGGAAAAAAGTTTACTGTATGGGTAAAACCAGTTTAAATCCATTCATGAAACTTGTATACTGGATATCCAATATTATTTCTCAGTGAGTACCTCAAGTGCTACATTCAACAATCTACACATTTTTTCCAGATATTTTGGTAAACTAATGAAAACAACTAAAGATACACAAATTTTCAATGACTAAAGCATATTTCTTCCCCATTCTCAAAATATTAGTTATTTGTATCAAAATATTACTTAGTTGTACCACTTATTTCAGTTTTCTAGCCTAGTTATCAACAGATATCAGCAGAGAAACTCTAAAGGGAATGTCTCACAGAAACAAATTCTTCAAAGTCAATTCTCCCGTCCTTGTTGGTATCTGTTACTGCAATGATTTTTTCTACAATCTCACGGACTTTGTAACCAGGCAAGGGCACACTTGCTTCTTTAAACAGGTCTTGAAGCTCATAATCACTGACATACCCACTGTTGTCAATATCTGTAAAATGAAAGCACTAGTTATTTTTATACTTATGAAAAGAAGCAAATATAGCAACTGGCAAGAATAAAAGCACAAGAAATAGAGTTCTAGGAGACAAGTATTTTTTCTTCTGACACAAGTAAGTAAGCATGAAGGAACAGTTGTGGATTAGAGGCACAACTGGCTAGAAGTTGTGCCATCTTGTTGTGTGTTTTCTCAGGAACTACTTTATAATCCCAAACCAAAGCTATAACAAGATGGCAAATTTTTAAAGAGCAAAATTTAACCTTTTTTCTTTTTAAGACTCCCACCAAAACTCTCTATAAACCTTCAAGTAAAATGGAGATAAGTTATTATAGTCTTACTTTTGATATTACACTGTTTGTAATCAGTAAGCTCAAATCTGATGAAACTTGTTATTAGAAGAGCACATTTACAAGAAAAACTACTTATACAAGAACTCTGCCAGACTCTGCATTTTGTTTCTTATCCTACTGTCTGATAGACACTTTCTGTTCTTCAGAACTTTTGATGTGGCTAGGCTTACTTGTGAAGAATAAATTGGGGATGATCTGTACCTATTTATTAAAGGTGACCTTCCTTAATTTATTAACTAGGTATGTTGGGAGCAATTTGTATCACCACCTTCACTTACACTTGGCTCCCAAGACCAAGTCAGGAATGCCTTTTTCAACAAGGGGTATGGTATAGGGAAAAAAATGAATGGCTGTATCACATGAAAAAAAATAAATTTTAAAAGGTTCAGTGTAATTTGTGTTACAATTATTAAGACAGCAGCACAGAAGAAATCATGAAAATACCCTTCATACTTCCCCTATGGGCCAATCTGTATGTAGAAAGCTGTCTCGAATTCTTGTCTTAGTATACTAAAGCATCATTTTAAAAACCTATGTTTTTATCCAATGTAACAGATAATATGTGCTTGATTCATTATCTGTTCCTATTTTTTATATTTATGCATATTTCCGTATATATGTACACACATATCTGTGCAAGCAGAATTTGAGCATGTCCATTAAAAAAGCCTTACCTGTACCTGTAGTGCAATATCTATGCAAAGGAGAGTACTTTTCAAAGTAGACAAGCACCGTACAGGTGAAGCTTAATAAAATACAAGAAATCATAACTGGCATAAATAGCTCTGGATATAATGCCATAATTTTATATATTTAATGCTAATATTTTCCAAGTTTGACAAAAACTTTGAGTCTCTTTCATGATCATACTAAAGCTCTTGAAAAATACAAATATTATTTTCCCAGTTCTACAAATGATGCATCTAAGATAATTAATTTAAAAGAAATCCACAAGTAACACAAGGAGTCAGAAACAGAAGCAAGACTACGTGGCTACTTTTCTGACTTGTCAAGGTGCTCCAATTTTTGCTTTCTTTGGTTTACTAGTTAAAAAAATCTCCCCATGTTGCCTCTAGTATCAAAACTCAGCCAACACTATCAGAGTGGGTGAGTATGCATCACATTATAGAAGGGCAAGCAGAGAAACATGCTTTCATCTCTAGTCATAACTGACTGCTATACGGTCATTTCCCTGTAATCTATACTATATTAAGTAGTTTCTGCACAGCTTCATAAGGCAGCCACATTTCACTGCTGACAAAAAGGCTAACAACACCTGTTAAAAAGAAAAATATTCCTCTTTCCGTTTTCAATATTACCAACAACTCATGAAACACTACACAGAAAAGCTTCATGTCCGCAAATGCATTAACCTGCTGTATGACTTGCAGACATGTCACAATACACATAATAACAGGGATAATCTAAAAAGCAGAGGACATGCTCACGAGCTCACTCAAGTTACCAGCTATTTTATTTCTCTTGGTTCATCTTTCACGGAAGCTAAGTTTCCATGATGACAAGCAGAAAGTTAAACAGATGCCTTTTCTCTCAGTTTACCTACATAGCTGCAAGCAATCTATCCATAAAGACACTGGAAGTGTAACAATTAAAAAAGAAAAACACTAATGATGCTAAATTTTTCTGTTTTACAAAAATCATAATACAATAGGAAAACGTTTGTCAGTGAGTAGGAGCAGTAAAGACAATTCTGAGAGCAGAAACTTGAAAACACAGAAATGAAAGGGAGAAAAAGATGAAATGCAGATGGTGAAAACCAAATAGAAAAGCTGTCCAACAATACCAGTGACCACTACTAATCCTAACACCTCACAGTAGATTAATACATGCATACAGTGCTCTTTAACATGGTCTGTCTTTCCAGCTCCTACAGGCTATAAACTTCTTGAGCTACAGACTGTCAAAAAGATTGTTTAACAGCAACTCATGAATTGTTTTCTGTGATTGCATCTTATTCTGTTAACATATCTACTCTTGGTCTGAACAACATCCCAATGCAATAGCTTCATGGTTTTATTATTTGTCACGAAGAAAAGTTGCTTCTTTCCATGTTAAGCTTTCTGAGTCTCTACTGGGCATCACATGATACCTGTATTGACAGATACTGAGTAATCTCCTCTTCACCTTTTCTATGCTACATACAGTCTTAGAGGTCTCTAACCTACAGCTTCCCAATAGTCTCTTTAACAAACTGGATCCTAATATTTAAGTCTTCTTGCCTAAAGCAACCCTGTTTTCCCATTATGAATTATTATAAATATGTTAATTATATTTGCTGAGCTGCAGTTACACATCATCCCTTCAGAACTGCAGCAAATAAGAAATAAAGCAGACATGAACTTTATATTGAAATATATTAATAAACACACATAGTTTCAGTGAAAATTAGGGTGTTTATGTAAACATTCTTGTTTTCTTAGCTATTGCTGGCAACACAGAAGAAAAACACATCCCTATCAAAACGAAGTGATCCATAAAGTTTTCTTCCACAAACCCTACATGGTTTTGCAATGTTAACTGCATCCTCATTTTTTTACATAAAGCATACCTATTTTACTGAATGCTTCTCTTAGTTCTTCAAGCTCTTCACGAGAGATAGTAGTTATGTTGTTTTCCATCTCTGGACAGCAAGAAGAATTGTCTTCAATTGCTTATACCTAATTATAATAAACAGGAAATATATAAAGCTTTAATTCCAAGCACATATTAATGTACGTAATGACAATGTAAATAATGACCTTTTCAATACAAGGTACCAGACCTGCATGACATTTCCAGTCCTGGCATACTTAAAACATTACAAACAACACTTCAGATTACATCAAACACCTAGCAAATTGTTTCACTATAGTGACTGAGAATTCACAATAGCAGCACCTGTTTTCATACACTTGATGTTTTCATTTACATAGTATAAGCACTGACCAGCAATCAACCTCCACTGCTTAAGTGGTTTTCCAACATAAAAATTGTTTGTTGAAATGAAAGGTAATTTTAAGAAAAATTGATTTCCAAGTGCAATGCAGTATCATTGCCATGAATGGTTAGTGCTAGGATCTAGGCATGCAAAGCACTGAGCACTTCAGCATTTGCACAGTAGTAAACCTCAGTGGGACACTTTCAAGTACCTGCTTATAGTCAGTGCATGAGCACTGATGAGACTTTCTGCTGCAGAAGCTATCACCTCCTGACCTTTACTCTGCTCTTCTTACAAGCTCATTTCATAACACTGTCAAAGAACCAAACAAAAGCTTTTACTTAGCACAAATACTGGAGTCTCATTGTGAATCTACTTTCTCAACTCCATAAAAAGGCAAAACAGAACTGAAGGCACCTTTGCAAGGGTGATAAAACCCCCATAATGGACCCTTGCCCATTTCCTCCTATCGAAGCTTTACTAGAGCAGGACCCTTGTTAGTAAGTGCAATTTTGTAAACAAGTCGCACACAAATGCCTCAATATACAAGCTTGTATCTGACATCTCCCACTGTGCACATACCATTGGCACATATATAGTCAGCATACGGCACCACATGTCTGCACATAGTAAGTTCTGAGCAGCGCTTGGCTGTGGAGAGCACAGTCTGCTACAGGTGGTGCGGTGCCTACCATGAAATACAAGTTTTGTCTTGGCTTAACTTTATAAGCCAAAAGTTGCAAAATAACCACCTTATATCACAGAATCCTAAGGGTTGGAAGGGACCTCAAAAGATCATCTAGTCCAACCCTCCTGCAAGAGCAGGGTAACCTAGAGTACATCACACAGGAACTTGTCCAGGCGGGCCCTGAATATCTCCAACGTAAGAGACTCCACAACCCCCCTGGGCAACTTGTTCCAGTGCTCTGTCACTCTCACAGTAAAGAAATTTTTCCTGATGTTCACATGGAACCTCCTATGCTCCAGTTTACACCCACTGCCCCATGTCCTACCACTGGACATCACCGAAAAAAACCTAGCTCCATCATCCTGACACTCACCCTTTACATATTTGTAAACATTGATGAGGTCACCCCTCAGTCTCCTCTTCTCCAAGCTAAAGAGTCCCAGCTCCCTCAGCCTCTCCTCATAAGAGAGATGTTCCATTCCCTTAATCATCTTTGTAGCTCTGCGCTGGACTCTTCAAGCAATTCCCTGTCCTTCTTGAACTGAGGGGCCCAGAACTGGACACAATATTCCAGATGCGGCCTCACCAAGGCAGAGTAGAGGGGGAGGAGAACCTCTCTTGACCTACTAACCACCCCCCTTCTAATACACCCCAGGATGCCATTGGCCTTCTTGGCCACAAGGGCACAGTGTTGGCTCATGGTCATCCTCCTATCCACCAGGACCCCCAGGTCCCTTTCCCCTTCACTACTGTCCAGCAGGTCAGCCCCCAACCTGTACTGGTACATGGGGTTGTTCTTCCCCAGATGCAAGACTCTACAATTGCCCCTGTTGAATTTCATCAAGTTCCTCTCCGCCCAACTCTCCAGCCTGTCCAGGTCTCGCTGAATGGCAACACAGCCCTCTGGTGTGTCAGCCACTCCTCCCAGTTTAGTACCATCAGTGAACTTGCTGAGGGTACATTCAAGTTCCCTCATCCAGGTCCTTGATGAAAATATTAAACAGCACTGGTCCCAGCACCGACCCCTAAGGGACTCCACTAGTCACAGACCTCCAGCTAGATTCTGCCCCATTGACCACAACTCTCTGCCTTCTTCCTTCCAACCAGTTCTTGATCCACCTCACTACCTGATCATCAAGCCCACACTTCCTTAGCTTATCTATGAGGATGCTGTGGGAGGCAGTATCAAATGCCTTACTGAAATCAAGAAAAACCACATCTACCACTCTAACATCATCCATCCACCTGGTTACTTGCACATAGAAGGCTGTAAGGTTGGTCAAACATGACTTCCCCTTGGTAAAGCCATGCTGACTGCTCTTAATGACCCCCTCATCCTTGATATGTCTAGAGATGGTGTCAAGAATAAGTTGTTCCATCACCTTTCCAGGGTTGGAGGTAAGGCTGACCGGTCTATAATTACCCGGGTAAACATAGTGAAATATTCACTAAGAATTCTTGATCTGTTTGTAATGAAAAAAGCACTCTGCAGGAAATGGTGGAAAAGTCTGTGGAGCTAAAAAAAAAGGAAAGGAAAAAAAAAAGCTGAACAAGGTATCCTACATGTAGCTAAACCTTTATGCAGAATGACACAAGCAGCATTCATGAGCTAGCAATGATTAACTCCCAACATTTTTCAAAATACTATTTTGAAATGAAAGCAACTACTTGTTCAACATACTATAAAATACAGTGAGTTGGTTTTAAAACACATTTTTTATACCTATTTTTTCTCTTTTTTTTTTCTTTTTGGGGTGGAGAGGTTAATCTTTGGGGTGGAGAGGTTAATCTTTGGGGTTTGTTTTGACCTTTGTGCGTATCTGAAACCAGAGTTAGGCATTTCCTTCAAAAAGAAAATTACTTTAAAGTTAAGCTTCTCATTTAACAAACTTCAACTGAGGGTCAGGGTTTTAAGGAAAATAAATAACATGAGATGTGGTGAAACCTCCTAATATAGCAACTGTACTGCCAGACCATTCTAGGAAATACAGGAAAATTTTTGTCTCAAGAGTGTGTGACTACTGTCTCAAAGTACAAAAGTAAAAGTATTTATTTGGGCCCTATCTGCAGCATATGCATTTATTTACCTACACTTACACTGCTGTGTAACAGAGACAGAATAAGTAATAGGCTCTATGTATCTACTTCTCATCTCAGCAAATGTTGCTGCTTCTTTTCAGGCAGTTCACTTTTCTTCCATGATGGTATATAAAGTTTCCATAGTGATTTATTTGTCTTCCATGATGATACATAAAAAGAGTTCTTAAACAACCATGGGTTAATGAAGTCTTGTCTTCTTCATTAGGGTATTTACTGTGTGTTCACTGGGACTGTTCCTGGACACAGGATATGGCCTTGAGTGTAGGTGGTGAGTTAAGTCTTTTTCCTTCATGTCACTAGATCTCATTTAAGTATTAAAATCCTACTCATCCATTTTGCTAAGCTTACTAGCAGCATGTATCAGTCTTCATACTCATAGAAAAATTAAAAATATATATATAAAGAAATCACTTTATACAGATGTTTCTGGAAGTGCAAGTACCTTTGCAGGAAGCCAGATGTGGCAATTAAAGAAATAAGGAACTGTGAAAAAATTGGGGTAAGCAAATAAACATTTAAATCTTAATTACTAAGGAAATTTAAAGGACTCTGAAGCTGCAATAAAACCCCAAAATACAATCCTCTGAAATACAGAAACAGCACAGTATGTCAAAGCATGAAATACTTAGACATGCAGGTGCAAAAGGCAACACCACTTGTCATACTGTTAATGTTTTCAACTATTTACAATTCGTATGAGTCAGATTTTATCAAAAACATTTTCTAGAAACTTTCAATATAATTAGTTTCACTCCTTCCTTTTTATGATTCATAATTCAGATAATCCATCATATTCTTTTTCAGAAAATAGCAGTCTTCGATTTCCAAAGACATTGATTATTTCAATAACACAGTAGAAACACCTGTTCTTGAATGAAGCAGATTAAAAAAAGCTCTAAAGAGACAGTCTTAAATACCCTATTATATAATTACAGGGTAAATTAGCTGGTCAATTAAATGGCAGAAGTGCTGCAATCATGGTTCTGGCATTCAGGAGAGATCTAGTTTGGGCAGAGACAATATCTAAACTAGTCAGACATTTTAGACTATTTCAATATACCAACAGGGACCTTCTATCTAAGCTAATAAATACCTTACACACGTTTATCACTGCCCAAGATGGCTCAGTTCACAGGCAACTCTGACAAGATTTAACATTAAGTCTGCAAAGGTACATGTCTGTTATATGACTAAGACTACCTGCTGAAAGATGTATTCATTTACAGAGAACACATTTCTCTCTACTCTGGTGGTGTTTGTACGACACTTGGATTTTCTATAGTCTATGATTACATCAAACCATCTCCTACTGCCCCAGGACAAGGTAGGTATAAACACTGGGTTTATGATGAGAAAGTGTTCATGATCCTCTTTTCAGTCCTTGCCAATATGCTTAACATGAACTAACAACATTGATCTATTCCTAGCCTGCCTTCTATACGTGGAAGGCTGTTTCTATCTGAAGACAATTCACTGGAGTATCCTTGAAATGTTCCATATCGAACAATACAATATGGATATCCATATCCAATAATATAATACAATATCAATACAGATACAAACTACAAACTATTTTTGATACCATCATCATACTTCTTTGCATGCAGAGAATTATCTGTGGCTGAGCAACCATGAAGTTCCTGCTGCTTTTTTGACCTGTTACCAAAGCTGTCAGAAAAAAGAGCAGTTAACTGGCATCAGGCCTAATAGTTTTCTCCATCCCTGCAGGCAAATGGTAATTCCTTTTCCAGCTCTTCATTCCAAATTCTATTTGCCTTGTTTCCACATGCAGCTGCTTCCACAACAACAATGGACATTACAAATGCTGAATCAAGAGCTTATTTTCTTTTGTCACTGTTCTTTTTGTCTGGCATTAGAGACACACCTCCTCTGTCCCTGCTGCAAACACCACTTGACTGCTGCATCATCCTTAGATCTGTTGGTTTTATTGA